AATTATTTAGTCCCAAACTGGATATAACAAACAAGTTATTCGACTCCTGTCAGGAAAGAATGCAGAATTGAGCCCAAGGAATTGGCTTCAGGAAGGTGAGAAACTTCAGGGACAGATCAAGAATCAGTTCAAGTTTAATCTAAGTCAGTTACAATAGAGGAGTCTGGAAAACCCCAGCAGAGTGAGACTGCAGGCTCGTAGCCAGTTCAAAACCTTTACAGATCTGGAAGCAAATGCACGTTGAATTTGCAAAGAGTATACAGAGGGTGGTCTGGGGAGTTTAAACCTGCTCATCAAAGTGCCTGCTATCTCTGCCCGATTCTGGTGAAATTGCCGTACTTTATCATCTCTGCCTCCTCTGGTAGTTATGATGTTTCCTTAAAGCCCCCCAAAATAACCTCACGTGGTTATTAGAAGACTTGTTTTAGGAGTGATGGCCAGCTTATTACAAGCTCCAGCAGCCAACCTCACACATGGAAAGAATAAGTCTTTGCAGTTGTCCACTTAGAGGGCTTTTTATTTCCTGAAGTTCTCATAAATCTTGCTTTATCACACACACATTAGACCCTCTCTTTTTTTCATCCCTTCTCTTAGCATTTGATAACCTTTCCTTTGCGGGAATTAATCCTCAGTGAGAAGTGTCATTACATTTCTCTTTATAAGAATGCCCGAAGTTTAACATGTCTGGCATTTGCAACAAGTTTTCGTGTTGACCATATAACAAATTCATGGTACTAGCTGCTACTTATTAAATGAGAGAGGGGATTGAGAATTCATCCGCATAGCTTGGGAGAGGATTCATTACCATCAGAATATTTGCAAATGAAATTGTTCTTCATGTTGCAGCGGTCATCATTCCACTGGAACATGTAGGGGCCGCCGATGCCGGCAGGTGCTGATGGCTGATGGTACATGACCACGCAGACCTCGCTGCCACAGGAAGGCTCGTCCACATACCAGTTCCTGTAGGAAAGAGATTAACAGTGGAGGCAACTGGAGGACTCCCTGAGATGTTAGAGCTTTTTTTCCCCATCAAGTGCCACTGAGCCATGAACTAAGATTCTGTTACAGAACTTGATACACAGACTCGTCCACATACCAGTTCCTGTAGGAAAGAGATTAACAGTGGAGGCAACTGGAGGACTCCCCGAGATGTTAGAGCTTTTTTTCCCCATCAAGTGCCACTGAGCCATGAACTAAGATTCTGTTACAGAACTTGATACACAGAGAGAGGGAAGAATTGAGGTACTGCCAATAAACAGAACCACATGCTTTCTAATATGGACATCACAATCAATCATCTGACATTTGCCACAACCTCTTTGCAGACAGCAATACATTACCATATGATGTCTGCAAAGTAATTAAGAGCAAAGGCAGCTAGCAGGGCTAGTCTGGGCAATCTTACTTCTTCCTTGCTTGTTTATAATTGGGTTTTGTTTCTGTTTTTTTAGAGATCGGCTGCACTGAGAGGAGGCATGGATTTTCTCATCCAGAGCTTGCCCGGCTCCCATCCCCCCATGCTTTTCAACGGCCACAACCACCTTCCCAGCCCTGGGACACAGAGGACAGTTCAAGTGTCTGAGGAAGACATTTCAAAAATATAGAAGCTGTCTAGGCAGGTGAGGGGGTGGGGACAAGAGCAGGGCCATTTGGTCTTTTTCAGTTTTCAGGTTGTTTCTACTTGATCAGGCTTTCGAGCCCCTCAGCCTCTACTGCCAGATGTCTTGTCTTTGTCTCCGTAGCCCCCTAAAGTGGTGCATTAGCGGTCCTAGTTCTGCTACCCAGTACTTGGAATTAAGTGGTGCTGCCACCCAGTTGGCTATGTGGGTGCTGAGTTAAAGGCTTGGATCCTATAGTGAGTGTAAATCTGCAAGCACCCACCCCATGTATTGACTCAGGGTTAGGCTTTGTAGTCTGCCTGGTTACCTGCCTGAGCTGTTTCCCTCTGGGGCTCAGATCTTGCCCTGATGCTCGGACTATTCAGCTGGGCACTGCTGCTCTGCCTGACACAGAGCCCTTCCTCAGGAAGGAGCCAGCTAAGAGATAGGTTTCCTGGTAGCACTTGAGTTCTGTGTTGCCATCCACCAAAAGGAAGATCTTTTGCTGCACTGACTGGGTTGAATTTGCTGGACAATAGTTGTGATTGCAACAAACACTCCTTGGACACTATGCCTGGACAGCTGGGGGCCCTGTTGGGGGCTGGGCTCTGTACCTCATTAGCTACCACCAGCCCATTTTCCAACCCTGGTGGACCTCGTACCCTGACTTCCCTTGTTCCCCTCCCTACTGGCCTTATGGCTTTATGTTATTTCATCTCACAAATAGACGGAATATTATTCCTGGCACACAGAAAACTGGACTTGAGCCAGTTTTCAGACTCAGAACTCACCCAGGAAGAAGGACCCCGCGGCATCATGGCAGGTGCACATGGTAATAATTTCTTGTTCTTCCCGCAAAGGGACCTATGGCCACTTATTCGAGTAACCATATACTGCAGAAGGGGGAATATCCAAATATTACAAAAGCTGTTAGACACAGGGTGCAAGTTAACATTAATACTCAGACTTGAAGTGTCATCAAAGCTATCCATTAGAGTGGGAGCACATTGGGGCCATGTATTAAACAGAGGTCTAGCCCAGGACCAACCCACAGTGGGACCCAGACTGTGGTTATTCCCCAGCCTCCAAATATATGAATTGAATAGACACATTTGGAAGTTGGTATAGTTTCACATTGGTTCCTTAGCCTAGGGAGTAAGAGCTATCATAATGGAGACAGCCAAATGGAAGCCTCTGAAACTGCATCCACCAAGATAGTAAATCAACAACAATATCTTAAACAG